TATTGGATATTGTTGAAGTATTATCCCACATCGATTGACAACGGGTCATAAATGCTTTTTATATTCATATGGCCTCCCTCCACCTAATAGTTTAAGCTTTTGGGTTGGACTTTCTAATAGATATGTACAAAGTGGCATGCTTATTCTTTTTTGTAATTTAAGATTTATCAAATCACTTTAGAAATTAAAATTTTCATGTAATATTTATATTTCCAACATCGATCACTTCCCTTTACTCAGGAAATATCATATGAAGAGAACAGAGTGTTAACATTGATTAGATTAAAGCCTGATCAGAAAAAAAATTTAGACCAAATAAAGTGTAACATGAAACAGGCTTATTTGTTGACTATTGAGAAATACCCCATTAATAGTGTTCAATTTCAATATAAATTCATTACACTTTTTTTCTTTTAGAGATAATCCATTAGTTCAAAACTAACGCAAAGCTTTGTTAAACATACGAAAGAAGATACATGAAGTCCAAGGACCCGTGCTAAGAACTAATAAAATCGAGATCAACCGAAGCAGTAACTTCATTCTAAATATAAGCATATAATTTGAATATACAAAAATAGTTGGTAAACATGTAGGACTTGTCATGTCCGCTTTACACATTGTGATCTGAAATAGCACGCCTTACAAAACTTAACGTGAAAAGTACCATGCTAAAGAAATATCGCATAATTTTTCGACAAATTTTCCCAAACATAGGTACTTAATCCTATTGAATTCATTAGAAAATTGAGAATTGAGTGTTTAGTTTTTAGGGACAAAGAGAGTTTTATGGGACAAAGAGAGGTTCTCGGTTCTAGGGTGGGAACTGGATCGATCGGACCAGACCGATAAATATATATTTATTTTTTGGTCAAAAATATGGATTTATAGATAAATATATATTTGCTACGTATTGGGAGGAGTTCCAATTGGGATAATTGTTCAATGTTCCTCTGATTATGTATCTAATTCACCTGCATCTAGTTCTGTTAGGCTAAGTTCCGGCATCAACCTTGGATACTAGCCGTGAAAACTTTACTATATAAAGTTTGAATTCATTCCAATAAGTAATTGGTTCCATTGGAACCGGACCCACCATCGGTCCGGTCGGTCGGCGATCCGACTAGCCGGTCCGATCCTTAGTCCTAGAAATTGGGAACCGGTCCTCCCGATCCGGTTCCCAGGTTCTAGGTGGGACCGGACCAGAACAGGAACCGCTCACCCCTAAAGAGAGTCATCGTATATTAAGATGACAAAGATTATGGTTTTGTACTTTTTGTTAAACTGCAAAAAGAAGTTTATTTACTCCACCAATTTTAAAATCACCTAACTTTTGTGGGATGTAGTGGGGGAGAGAGAGAGAGAGAGGCCAGGGTATCAGATATGAGCTTAAAAAAGGTGGCCGTTGATATGCTTCTTTCAAATTTCTAATCATCCAATTTGATATTTAGTAAATCACAATAACAAAAAAAATGACAATGCAGCTTGATACCACAAGTGCATGCATGTCATCCCTGACAAAAAGTTGATCGTCCCTCCCCTAATTAGCTCCCTTGCTTCGTGAAAGATATATTATGTAAAAGTCGCGTCGCATGGAGAAACTAACCATTGAAAAGGGGAGAGAGAACACACCGTTTTAAGTGGGAATATGCATGACAAAATTAACCCGACACATTCCGTGTATATTTCAAAGATTTTCGAACTTGGTAAAAACAATCATATGTCTATGAGCATCAAGAAATTATGGTGTCAGGTCCACCTATTGCTAGATGTAAGTCTCCTGAAATCACGTTTTTAGGCCTGCCCCAAGCCCACTTAGTGTCGAACCCGACACATAGGGTATATTTTAAAAGATTTTCTTCCTTAATTGAAGGGCTTCAGAGGGCGCCTTAGGGTCGGCCCAATCTTTTGTGCCTATAGATTTTCATGGAGTCCAGCCCAATTACCATCAAGCCCACTTATCTCCTTAGGCCCGGCCCAACCATTTGCGTCTAACGATAAAGTATTGCTAGAGATATTAAAAAGAAGAAATCGTTTTCCCAAACTCTCTTCCACACGCACTCTTACATAGAGCTTCAATCTACGTACCCTCTAAGTTTGTTAACTATTCGCATTTTGTATTTTCTTTTATTTTGTATCACTTTTTAGGGTTGCTTTATTTAGATAATAAAAGAGCATAAAATGTATACTTCTTCTATTAGTTATATATTGGACAAGCATTTCGATGTCGTCTTAACATCTTATATAAAGAATAAAATATACCCACGACAGAGAGGATAACCTTTTGAAAGTAAAATCTGAACATTGAAAAGCTTTTTCCAATTCACTTTCGAGTATAGCACCGAAAAACCGGAAACTGGTCATTTTCCTTGGATATGGTTTTGGTGAAAAACATTTTCCTCCGTCAAGAAACTTTCAGCGAAACAAACATACCCTAATACCCGTAACCTTAATTAGTTCACAATATGATGCGTTAAATGGTAAGTAGTTATTTAAGTTAATGGGGCCATTCAGGTACCCAACTGCAGTTTTAGTATTTCTAGCATTATGCAAACTAAAATATGTTCCAAACAATTTTCTCCTCGGCAAATCCCAATCAATTCCGACCCACGTTTGCTAGGTACCAGAATCTCTGCATAAATGCAAATTCGAAACGTGCACTCGCATCGAAAAGTCAATAGTTTAACGAAAGCAACATGACCGCAAGCTAATCGGATAGAGTGTTAGCTTGTCTTCATCGTCCAAATCTCTCACCCTATAATGCCTCTTAGGTTCGGCCAGTACAGCAAACCCATGTGCACCAGCTCAGAAGTGCTCAATATAGTCGGAATTTTCCTCCTGTATTTCCGCTTGCAAGTCTACGAAATACACAGAAATAGAAATGAAGCTTCAAAGTCTCAATCATGGAGGAGACAAGTTTGAAGTCATGGTGATGATTTTCCATTTAAGAGGTGACGCCTATGGCATCTGAATGGTAATGACATGTGATGTAGGCTTCACATGGAATTGCATTGCACAGTGTCGGTGTAGAGATTGATCTTTTCTTTCGTTACATATGTATATAGATAGAATTTATCTATCACATAATCCGCTCATTCCACGTGGCTTAAGTAACAAATCTCTCTCTCTCCCTCTTTCTCTCTCGGGCACGCGTGTGCGTGTGCAGGTGTGTATGTAAATCAATGTGCGTAAGTTTGTGAGCTACGCGCGCGCCTGTTCAAGTATGTGCAGGGGCGACTCTATGTGTCTGTCTTTGAGAGAGAGTCTGCTAAATGGGACAATGGCAGGCAGTGACCTCATCGGAGATGATACAATAGTAGCTTCGTCATAGATGATGAGGTGGCAACGACTAGGCTTCTAAAATTGTGAGTGTACTTAGATGGAGGAGAGAGATGTTAAGTAGAATTTTGGTTTTTTTACAATGGGGGTATAGCGCTGATCAAAACTACAAGTTTTAAATTTCCAGTGAAAGGCCCATGTAAAGTTGGGTGGTCCAAATGCCATCCAACTCTCTATCGAAACACAATGAGATAAAAATGAACAGTTGATGGTATAACAAATTATTACTCCAGACCTTATGTTTAGTTGTAACAGTGAAATTTTATGAGAATCGAGTTTACTTTTGAAAGTGATATGATAAAAAGAGAAGGAAGGATAAATTGGAAACTTAAAAATGATGGGTCTTTTAGTAGAGAAGTGAACACAACCTTTGTGATGTTCATGCCCAACTTTATTCTAAATATATAACCAATCTAGGGATAACTCAATCAACTGCTCGTAATGTCATTTTCAAAGATCATTGGGATTGTCCTCCAGCAAGATCTGATCATTTGATTGGTATCCTTGCAGCTTTGGCAGATGGCATCCAATCTTGTCCTCCAACACAGGGTTTTCTTTTCTGGCTCTTTCCGATGGCATGTTTACTCTATAGTCTCGATGCTTGGGACTTCGTTAGGCATGAGAAGCAGCCTGTAATTACTTGGCACTCGGTTGGTCTGGTTCAGGCCAAACCTGCCTAAGTTCTGGTTCATTTGATAGAATTAGTAAATGGAGCTCCATTCATGATACTTGATTCATAAATGAGCTTGTTGTGGGGGGAAGTTTTCATCCACTTGATATTGGTTTTGCGCCATCAAAGGGTAACTTACTGTGAGGAAAAACAAAGGCTCCTACCCTTTCCATGATGGACTCTTGATTGCATCTGTAAAGCTAAAATTGTATCTGCATGTTAAGACCATACTCGAGTGGCTAGAGGACATAAATGAAAGGGCAATTTGGAGGAAATTTTCTCCTACCATACCTTTGATCGGTGGGTTACAAACACGGGCATCATCCAATTTTAATTTTAATTAAGTTTGCATGTTGGTGATATTTATAACTTATAACCAATCGATTAGAAACATTATTTTCCCCCAATTAGATTTGGAGACATGATGCTGACAGTAAGAGCGAAATTGCTCTTACTTAGATTAGAGCTGAGTACTTTTCAGTCTTCAGAATACCTTTTGGTTACTCGAATTTCCTCTTGCTTCAAACCGTTGAAATCTAGCCAATAGGGGAGTTCTTATTGTATGATCCATGTGCATGTGAGTCCAAGGAACATGCATCGTTAGATTATGTAGGTCTCGCGTGGAGCCCGATTCATCCAAAGATGCATGTGAATAGGGCTCGCACGTACCGAAATCATCCCATAATATTGCCAATAGAGCTAGTGCCCTCAAAACCGTCATAACCTTTTTGAAAGTAAAAACCGTCTTGGTAGAATGCACTGTAGTACCTATCACATATCAGTCTAATAACGAAAGATTATGAGCGCACCGTGTCCCTTGGAGACTATAGCTTGAACCCACATGGATGAGATGTTGCAACCATCCAGACCGAGATCTATTGAACGGTTAAAATCTATTACATAACGGTAAAAGATTGCAATTATGTAAGTCTCCGCGAGACTATAGCCTTACCCCCCACATTTCAACCCATGGAAAGGGAAGTTTTGGCTGGTGAAAATAGGGCCAACGAGGGAGGGAATATCGTGAGCTCTTCAATTTTGGAAGCCCGAGCATCTTTAGCCAAGAATGGTTGAGCTCCCTCATAACTCGTGCTGAAAATGCCCTGAACCTCCTCAATCACGTCCAGCCATACACGTCCTTGTCATTCTCCTCAGATTCTCCACATCAACATAAAGATCACTCAATGACTTTGTCTCTCGCCCTTTCCTCTCTAGCTCACAAAAAGGGTCATTCCACTCCACTTATCGTCTCTATCCCAACCCTGCTCATTTCCCATCAGATGTCTGATGATGTTTCCCAGGCACCACGTTCGCTGCCTCCGCCACCACCAGCCCCCGAGAGCTCGCAGTCGCCCTTGCGAGTCCAGATGGTGCCGAAGTCAGTCTCCGACCGGCTCCTCCAGAAGTTCTTCGACGCATCCGAGTTCGACTTCGATTACGAGCAGAGCGGGTTGTGGTCTCCCCCAGTGAGGAGGAACGTGTTCTTGAGCTCCCCTGGGAACATATTCACGGAGCGCCAGATCGGCGAGATGAGCACCAAGCTCAAGAGCTTAATGGACGTCAAGCGCCGCCGGCGACGGCACAAACTTTGGTTTAAGGTACGGCGTTCAACTGCCCAATCCACATTTTGTTTGTTGGTCTAATTCCCTCGGGAACGAAACGGTCAAGCAATAATGCATACCTTTTAAGATTTATAATTTCTATTTCTATTGCAGGCATTATGGTGTTTAAGAGGATAATGTCAAATTCTCCTCCTCTCCTTCTTTGATGTTTAGGGGATAGACTATTTGGAAAGTAGTAAAACCTCTTCTTTCTATCTTCCATGTACTGATGTAATTTCAAGAGAACATTGACATTAGTTGAGTGATTAAGTGAATAGGTACTAATTATATACAAAACGTATTTAGCTTCACCAAATATTACCCATTATAGTTGTCGATGAACTGGCTCAACCGATTCCCGAGGGACGCTCCGAGAAACAAAAAATCGAGGGCAAAATCGATGAATTGTTGCGAGCGATTTGCTTAATGTGATATTTTCTTTGCCACTGAACTTTTTTCCGTTTTTAGTTGTATTTTTTGCGAAGTTTCTTAGGCTTACGATAAATTTTTGCCGCGCAACTAGCTTGAAATATCCCGTGAACTCGTCGGAAAGAAATAAATAAAGGAAGAGAGAGAAAAAGTATTTTAAAAAAAACATTTATTTCAGTGTGATGTCAAGAAAAAGCATTGATGATGCACGGAAGCTGATGTTGACAAAAATTGAGAAGAAAAAACTGAAAAAAGCAGCCTCAAGAAATGCCGGAGAAAAAGGCGATACCACTTGGTCTCTTCAACTTCAATTATGATAGTACTAATAATCCGTATGCTCAAACAAAACCACAATTTTTCTTTTGAAAAAAAATAATTATTCCTCTAGCTAATTGCCCCACTTATATCTTCTCCTGTCGAATTGGTAAAAAAAAAAATGGGATCGACTTTGAGATTGATTTTCTTTCGCATCCAATCTTGAATTATATCGTTAGTGCTCGCAACTACACCATACACAAGGTCACTTAGTTACCGTCACTTATTTCAAATGCTTTCCAAAACTCTAAAAGAATGTGATTTATGCATTTAGTCTACACAATTTCGTGATATATCATGTGCCATAATACTTATGTGACAAAATGATTGAATAGATGTTGTCAAAACCTAAATAACTACTCGCTACGAGCCACACAATGTGTCTCGTCATGAACAACTTAACAATGCAGGATGCCGCACTTGACGGGCCAAGCACTTGCCCAAACAAACTCGATTCGAGTTAGGCATAACACAACATAAATGAAATAATAGTATTTGATATACTTTCTCAACGGACGCGAGTAGCAACGGCATAATTAAGATCGAAATCTTGCGGAATCAACGAGATAGATCGAAACGAAATTGCATAAAAGTCGAGTGGCCTCCTGTCGATCGGGCCACACTGTCAGGAATACGCGAGAGGGGTACCACTTGATCGCGGAAATCTGCATCTTCTGGGCATGTGCAAATGTGATGAACTCGTGATCCTCTCTCCCTCTCTCTCTGCCCGTGGTCCACCATACCCAACGAAATGAAAAGGCATCATCCCTTTGAAACTCATGATTGGTGAGATGGGCCACATGATTTGAAAGTGCGGATGCTTAAAACAAAGAGAATAAATGACTGCATTGCATTTTTGTCCCTGGACTGGAGAAAGAACCCGAGGCTTTCTGGGTATTTGCTTCTGTCAACGTTGTATGTATTGTACGTCATTGTTCCCAGGATCTGCCGCTGCTGCCATGCACTGTTCCATTGCCTTTTCCCTCGCCCACATTCAGCCAGAGGAGTGCTTGAAGAATGCGTTTGTGCTTTAGTGGGTTCACCATGATCTGGAGAGTTACTTCTTCCCTTTTATGATCACATAGCCTACTGAATAAGTAAACTCCATGCACCATTGATCAGATACAACTGAAGTCGAAGCCTGAGCATCTTCCCAACACCATTTTTTTTTCCCAACACCATTGATCAGGTAAGACTGAAGTTGAAGTCTGAATAAGTGGTTCAAACATGAGATTGTTTTCATATGCTAGTGTGAGGAAGCAAATGTCGTGTCAAGCACCTAATCCATATGCTATATCGGCAACTCGACCGCTAAACTAATCGTGTAGGACTATGGTCTAGGGATATGTATGTGAGGCTATGTATAGGACCATTTCATAGTTTCTAAAATATTGTTAACACGTTTATATTTCAATTAGAGAAAGGGGCAGAAACTACATACACCATGTGATAATTTAGTCTGCATACTACGTTATTTATATATCAAAGACCCTCTGGAAATCTTTATGAAGGACAAAAGTAGATAGGATATTAAATAAGTTCATTTTTGGAGAGGATTATGAGCTTTCTTAGCAAGCCATGGATAGAAAGAGGTTTTTGCTAGTCTGATAGTCTTGTAATGTTCTTTCAGTCACTTTCCAGGTAATTTCATGCCTAGACTCAGTTCACTATAGACCAAGTGATTCGAGCCGTCAGATGGGACGCTCCCGTGTGGGATCTATAGTTTGCTCAGATCATCGGTCGGTCCCCAGGCAGACCGAATTACTAAACAAAGAGTTTTGCCGCTTCCATTTCACTACTTAATACGCTACATCGATACAACATGCTTGTGACACGGCCCAAGGAAGCGAAGGGCTCCGAGCCCGTCCGTGAACGAGACGTGGCCCCTTATGTACAGGGGATGTGGCCCATTCGTGCATGGGACGTAGCCCATTTGTGACTAGGCGTGACCACCGTCCCTGACCCTTCAGTTACCTCTGACAAACAACCCTGCAGCTTCCTTTGACAGACGTCCCTTGAGCTTCCCCACGCCCCTAAGACCTCTGGAACTTTTTGTGTAATTGTGTAATAATTGTATTAGTTCAAACACCACCGTTGGATCATGAGTGTATCAATGGATCAGATTATACCCGCACTTGTATATATAGAGAACCCTCCCCCTCCATTTGTACATGCTCATTTGCAAAGAAATACTACTACGTTGCTTTATCTCCATTCTTGTGAATCGAGTGTGTGTGTGCGCAAGGCTGACTTGGAAGTGATCTTAAGGCTGCACGGGTGTGGGATCGTTGTGAATCGACCGACCCGTGACAAGTGGTATCAGAGCCTTTGTTCCTAGCGCAATGGCTGACCCACGTTCCAGTGCTGTGAATGTCCAAGATGAGGACCGCGAGGATCATCAAAGGGCGACCGAGAGAGTCGACGTCTAAACTAGGAGGAGTCGTGCTCCCTCGATCAAATGGGTGACTTGGACCATCGAATGACGGCATTAGAGGAAACCGTCATGGATGTTCAAGGGATAGTCGATGACCTACAACAAACCGTTGAAGAAGTGGAGGCCGGAAGGGAGGAGCTCTTAGCCGAGATGCAAGAGCTCAAAGCCGGCATGGGAGAGCTCCGCGACGAGGTGTTGGGGCCCGTGACTCATGAGCTGCAGCAGCAAGATGAGACCCAGGAGGCCGCCATACGCGCTGAGATCGCTGAGCTCAAGGGGAAGCTCGCGAGATAGAAGCAACACGCGTGAATGAGGTGATCACCATGCATCCACGTATGGACGCACCCAAGCTGAGAGAGTCCAAAGGAATGATGTTTGTGAACATGAAAATCGAGAGTACCACGATGAGTGCGTTCGTAGATACCAATGCGTCTGACCTCTTCATATCCCAAAAAGCCGCGAAGAAGCTAAATCTTCGGATTAAGGAAGGAGGAGCCGGTTGACTCAAAACGGTGAACTCCAAGAAGGTCCCAACTAGCGGTATGGCTAGGGACGTGGAGCTTCATCTTAGTCCATGAACCAGCAAGGAAAATATCGAGGTAATCCCCCTTGACGATTATGATCTTGTACTGGGTTTGGGATTCCTTGATCATATAAATGCGGGTGTAATGCATTTACGGATTGTATATGTATTCTGGACATGCGATGCCAATGCGTGGTCCCGATCCATTGCGAGTCGGGACGCGATAGGAAGATGCTCTAAGCTATACAGCTTAAGAAAGGAGCAAACAAAGGTGATGTGACCTTCTTGGCAACCTTGAAGGTCGAGGATGATAAGGGCAAGGGCAAGGACAAGGAAAGTGAAGTTCCAACCGAGGTGACCCACGTCCTCGATTCGTTCCAAAATGTGATGCCACCCCAGCTACCCAAGAAGCTGCCATCTCGAAAAGAGGTGGATCATAAGATCGAGCTGGTGCCTAATGCCCGACCACCGACCATGGCACCTTATTGCATGGCCCCACCCAAGTTAGAGGAATTACAGAAACAACTCAAGGAGCTACTCAATGTGGGATACATTCGGCCGTCCAAAACTCCGTTCGGCGCCTCGGTACTATTTCAAAAGAAGCATGACAGGTCCCTCCGTATGTGCATTGATTACCGGGCGTTGAATAAGCTCACTATAAAGAACAAGTATATGATCTCCTCATTGCGAGACTTATTCAATTAGCTTGGGGAAGCTCGTAGGTTCACCAAGCTTGATCTTCAATCGAGTTACTACCAAGTCACATGAATAAGCTCACTATAAAGAACAAGTATCCGATCCCCTCATTGCGGACTTATGCGATCGCTTGGGAAAGCTCGTTGGTTCACCAAGCTTGATCTCGCTGGGGATGGACGTACGGTCAAGATCCGTACCATTGTCAAATGGGAGCCCCACCAAGGTGACTAAGCCGAGGTCGAAGCTTTCTCGCCTCACAAATTACTATCGACACTTTGTTCGGGATATTCAAGCATCACCGTGCCACTCACGAATATGTTGAAGAAAGAAAGGCCGGGAGTGGACGGACGATGCCAAAAAGCGCTCGATCGGTCGAAACAAATCATGACCGAGGAGCCAAAGCTCGTGGCCGCCCAATCATGCCAAGCCATACGAGGTAGGGACCGACGCTCCGATTTTGGCGATAAGTGGTGTTCTCATGCAGGATGGACATCCGTATGCGTTCGAGTCTCGAAAGTTGAATGAGATCTTGAGCAACATTACACGATCCAAGAAAAGAAGATGACCGCGGTGGTTGACTCCGCCTGTACGCGGAGGTACTATCTCCCGGGATCAAAGTTCGCCGTTCGATGAATAACGGGCCGCGAGCTACTTTCAAATCCAAAAAGATGAGTCCGAAACAAGCTTCGGTGGGTAGGATTTCCGCCGAGTTCAATTACGTGCTAGAGTATAAACCAGGAAATGCCAATTTAGTGGTCGATACCTTGAGCCGAAGACGAAGTTGGCCAACATCATAAGTCGACCTAGCTCCTAATGCATCGGTAGGACATCCAGGGATCTACCGCACCATGGCGCTCGTTGAGGACCAATACTGCTGGCCTCACATGTGGAACGACGTCGAGGCGTATGTCAAAACATGTCTCATGTGCCAACAAGATAAGATCGAACAATGTTCACCGTCGGGACTTCTCGAGCCACTTCCTGTCTTGGAACGTTCATGGGAGAGTATCTCCATGGACTTCATTGTGAATTGACCCAAGTCCAAAGGATGTCGGACCCTCATGGTCGTAGTGGACCGATTCTATAATTACACAACGTTCGTGCCCACAACAAAGGATTGTCCGACCGAGAAGGCGGCCAAACTATTCATCAAGCATGTCGTCAAATACCGGGGAGTCCCACGAACAATCGTGACCGATTGCGATCCTTGGTTCACCAAGTGGTTTTGGACCGAGCTCTTCAAGTTGCTGGGGTCGAACCTCAACTTCTCCACGAATTTGCATCCCCAAACCGACGGACAAACGAAGAGGGCGAATGAACTTCTCGAAATATATCTCCGGCACTATGTGAGCACAACGCAAGCAAATTGGGCGAGACTAATCGATGTAGCTCAGTTCTCGTTCAACTTACAGCGAAGTGAGTTCACAAACCAGAGCCTGTTCGAGATCGTGACGGGGCAACAGCCGCTCACTTCGAACACGGTTGCCTCGGGCTATCGGGGGAATAGCCCATCCGCATACAAGTTCGCCAAAAAGTGGCATGAGGAAGTGGACTTAGCGCGGGCGTGCTTACACAAGGCCTCCAAACGCATGAAGAAATAGACCAATAAGAAGCGACGGCACGTGAAATTCCAAGTCGGGGACCTAATGTTGGCCAAGCTACACGCAGTCCTCCGATACAAGGACGTGCACAAAGGCTTGATCGGTCGCTACGAATGGCCTTTTCGAGCGCTCAAACGAATTGGAAATGTCACATACAAGCTGGACTTGCCACCGAAGCTCAAGCTACACCCGGTGTTCCACGTAAATATGCTTAAGCCTTTCCATGTAAATGAGGAAGACTCAGACCGAGAGAAGTCGCAGCGGGCACCGTTTGGGGAAAAAACCTCGTATGACCGAGATGTCGAGTGCATCATGGCTGATCAGATCATACGGAAGAAATATCGGGTGCCAAGGCGAGAATACTTGGTCCGATAGAGAGGTCTTCCAGAGAGTGAAGCAAGTTAGGAACCCTCCGAAACTCTTTAGCAATTCCGAAAGTACATTGATGCATTTCATGCTAAAAACACGACGAGGGCATCGCCCGATTAGGTTGGGGAGAATGACACAGCCCAAGAGAGCGAAGGGCTCCGAGCCCATCCGTGAACGAGACGTAGCCCCTTACATGCATGGGATGTAGCCCATTAGTGCATGGGATGTAGCCTATTCATGCATGGGACATGATCCATCCGTGACTAGGCGCGACCACCGTCAGCAACCCTTAAGTTGCCTCTGACAAACGACCCTGCAGCTTCCTTTGGCAGATGTCCCTTCAGCTTCCCTATGCCCCTAGGGTCTCTAGAACTTCTTGTGTAGTTATATAATGATTGTATTGGTTTAAACATTACCATTAGATCATGAGGGGATCAACATATCAGATTAGATTCGTACTTGTATATACAAGGGACCCTCCCCCTTTATTTGTACATGCTCATTTGTAAGGAAATACTACTACGCTGCTTTCTCTCCATTCTTGTGAATCAAGTGTATGTGTGTGCAAGGCTGACTTGTGAGTGATTCTAAGGCTGCACGGGTGTGGGATCGTTGTAAATCGACCGACCCGTGACACTTGGATCTACAATGCATTTAATATACTGCTAAAACGAGTGAATCGATCGCGAGAATGCGAAGTGAATACTATAGATTCACAGAGATCAGTGTACCAATAGCTCTGGAGGTATCAAATTACATATGAAGGACAAGATGATCAGGTACCGCTTGAAGCAAAATCAAACAAAAATACTGTGTTTTTCATGGCTACAGTCAAAAGAAAATTCTGGGACCACTTCAAGCAAGAGACAAGAAGTCATCTGAAGGGTGCTTTCGCAGCCTGTTTGATAAGTACTTAACCAATAAACTTTTACCCAAGACTCCTGCATTTTCCCTTCATACATATGGACGCTTGCCACAGGTACAGCTGTTTTCTTTTCAACAGAGACTCTTCAACACTGTCATTTTTTCCTTTTTTTGGTTATGTCCTTGCCTTTCTTGATGAAAAAAAATGACCAAACCGTTAGCTACAATCTGTCACGATTTCGTGTTTATATTTAGCATGATCTAAGAATCATTTTCCTTTTTCTTTATGAAGCATCCTAGATTTTGCTACTAATGTGATGCCTTTAGTTTGTTAGAAGAAATATCATTCAAGCTATAGTGGATGATCCATTGTACCTAGTAGTTTTTAGCAATATCTCTAGCGACACCGTCCTCAACAGCATAAAGAAATGATAATTCACTGTCAAATTTTCATCTGTAGACAGTGTTTAGAATCCCTCACAACAAAGCCTGTCTTTAATTGAAAAAATTCTGCCCGGAACTATACATGATGGGTTGTTGAGGGCAGATCATATAATTGTTACAGTGAAAATGACTCTGGAAAGGATTGAACATGGAATGAGACAGACAATCGATCATCCAACAGAATAGTCAAATGCCAAAATTCGAAGAAGTGCTACCAAAACAGGATGCAATACCTTTTCGTATAAACATAAGTTTCAGTATACAACAGATGAATGTTGATCCATGTACTTATAAACAAAATGAACCAGCATCCTTTTGATTGTCGCTACACCAAGTTTGATGAAGTGACGTGAGAGTTTCAGCACTGACATATATTTTCCCTAGTGAGTTTTCTAATTACATAATGTCTGCTATCTTCAGAGCAAGATTCCTACACGATACAAAGAAAAAAAAGTAAGTTGCAGTCTCGCACTTGATGTAAATTAAAGAATCCAAACTTGAATTGCATTTTAATTAGAAAGATGACCATGTATATCCACCATTTTTCCAGCCAATATCCGTGCATGTTAGTTTTAGAACTTTCACCAAAAAACGAATCATCTCAACAATTTCTATTCATCTGTTTCATCTGGAACTAGTCTAAAAAGAGTCACAAGAACGATGACGTGTAAACCATGCACATACAGTAAGCAGTTCGCACAAATTCCAAGAAATTAATTCAGAACAAGTTACAAGATGTACTTACAAGTATGATGTGAAAGATCTAAGATGAACTGGCTATTAGACAGCAACGGGACTTTTCTGAAGGAACTCCTTCCCTGTGATGCCATCTTTCAAATTTTTGAAGTACTCATTGTAGTCCTTCTCAGGAGGCGGATTTTCAGGGTCCACTGTAAAAGGCTCGCTGAATGGGACTACACTTTTAACCTGCAGAGACAATTAAATTAAGATTCTTGACAGGATGAGAACAGACATCATTCTCACTTTTGAACCACAAAATCTTGCTTTGACTGAGCACACAAAATCCTCTCACAATGCTCATTAGTGTATCTAGTCAAGGCAGATAATCTCCCTCATCTAAAAGCAAAGATCAGCTCATTGAGTTACTATCATAAACACTCATATATCTCACCAAATAAAAGAAAATGCCCAAACTCCTTAACCTATCTGTTTCGTTCCTTTGGCGTTAAGGACAGAACATTGAAACAAATTCCCCTATTGCCAAAGGAAACTAGTAATCTCCCTCTTCTCATCAATAGTTCCAGATAAGCAGAGAACCTTCCCTATGCGACATGAATTCAATGCCATTTACTTACCTCAAATGTCTTGTCGCAAGCAGATCGACTTTCCAGAGCAGCCACACAAATACAAGCAATCTCTTCCCTTGAAATTTTCCCCTGAATAGTAGAACCATTCCACAAAAAAGAAAATTAAGAACACATTAGTTTCCCATAGACACTGGATAAAGAAAATTCAAAAAATATACATCAGAAACAAGACACAGATGAAAGAATCTAGCTATGTAAGGAACCAAAGATAGTCCTTTACCGTAATGTTGTCTCCTTGATCAAAAATAAGATCTGCTCCAGCTGGCTCCTCAGTCAATGCGCAAGGCCTCACAATAGCATATGGAATTCCGCTCTCTCGTATCAAATCCTCCCCCTGCTCCAGATAAGGCCAGAAAAATGATAAAGTGACAACAGGGAATAAAAATTGATTCCAGACTGAACACTTTCCATGGGAAGAAGAGGTGGAATAAGTCGGACCGGGAGAAGTCATAACAAGAGCAAGATGATATGTAGTTTGGCATTATATAGAGTTGACAAAACAAAATTTACAAAACCTACAGAGTTGCAGAAGTAACATCAATACATAGTTCACGACATGGCTACAAAATATACACGGTGATGTCACAAAATCAAAGACACAAAGGCAGCTGTTTTTCATTGAAAGGAGTATTTTATTATTCACTTAGCGACTGCATAAGACTTCCATAAAATGAGCTTTATCTAATGCAAGCATGGTAGGACCATAGAAATCCAGAACCCCTCCCTCAAGAGAAAGTTACTGGTCCAACCACACATTATCAAAGTTTTGAAAAGTTGTATTTTTCTCCCTGAGATTATACTCATCCCCCTGAAGATTAACTTGTGTCACTTTGACCCCTAAACTTTCACAATCTATATCAGTTTGCCCCAAGTCCTTGCTGTCGGCAAATTTTTCACTAGAACTGAGTTGCTTTTGAGGCACGTGACCCAGGACTGATGATATGGATTGTCCAAAGAGATTGTTTGGTGCAAATCCTAGTCATTCACCAGTGAATTCTCTGTCTGCCAATATAAGAAAGTAAAAAACCTTTGGTTCATTAATGGCATACTTTGGCATCAAAGGATTTCCTCAAACAAATATATTCATCAGTTCCGACAGCTAATATCTTGTATGCTTCAAGGGCGAGTTAATTTCGAGATAAATTTGCCAGCAATAAAGAATATGGGGCAAACTTATGCAAGTTGTGAAAGTGTAAGAGGTAATCTGAGATGAAATAAACTTTAGGGGGCAAAGTACCGAGCCTTTTTATTGTGTCAACCAAATGATATTATATATAACCAGCTTCAAATGTCCACAGCAAATTATACTGCGACTGTCATGCAGAGTCCAAATAGCATTTTTGCTGAGGAAATCTATAATCTAAGCACCGAGAAAATAGGATAAAATTGTAAAAGACCACACCTTCAACTTAAAGGTGAGAATGAATCCTAATTCCTTGTTCAAGCGGACAGCAGGAGGTTGCTTACTGAGATCAAGTCCAGGCCGATCAGGTCGTGTCACTCCTGCAGAGCTCACGTGTACAAACCTAACATTCAACCAATTTAAATGTAACTGATGATGACTGCTATCAAATCAAAAGCATCAGGAAAGAGTAACCAGCCAGTTAGTGTTGAATTATCCAGAAATCCCCAGAGTTCCGAATTGAGCATTTATATCTTGAGTCTACCCTGTTTGCAGAATAGACTTTTGCTTAATAATTTGAATTCTTTGTGGGTATACTGTTAACTTTACTTCACATGTAGTCAAGCAGTTGTGGGTTCAACAACTTCTGCTGTCTTCTCATTAATATTGCCATCTTCTCTAATCATAGTTTACAGAGAGGAAATGAGTGTCCAAAATGTGTCGGTTTCATGCAATTTTCAAATAAAGAAAACAAACCTTGGAGCAACAGGATCCTTTATGTAAGCTCGTATATTTGATATTGGTAGTTGAAATGCACCCTCCACAAAAGTTGGGTTCAATTTCCCATCATACTCAAATTTGCTGAACATTAGCTGAAATGTATTACCATTAAATCAACAAGAAGGGTTAAACAAGTTCTAGCCAAAAAAAAGGAAAGGTTTAAGAATTTGAAAAAAAAAAAAACCACCAATCTATACATGAAGAATCACACCTGCAATGACACAATACTGCTTGGGTCAAATGGTGGAGCATCTGTCACAGTTCGTGCTCGAAATATAGGCCTCAAAGAAGAGAATGGCAAACAAACCTAAATATACAATTGAAGATTAAATGTGGGGAATCTTAGGAGAAAACAAGCTCAAACTTTGACTCCACCAAGGCATACCGATTGCCACAGCCCTCCAACAGTGTCAAAGCCAGCTGTATAACCAACAGTGTCCCAATCACGGCTTGTTCGAACAATGAGTTTGTAACGGCGGCCATCACCGTTTAGACGAAGCTCTAAACCATCATATGCAGAAAGATCCTCAGCTACTGTAAAATTCTGAAAATCAGAAAGTAAAGTTACCACAGAAAAATGTCCAACGGTTTTAAAGTAATGGAACATATGACCTGACACACACAAATAAACAAAAGACCTGCACACACATCACACTATTGGAGAAAACAATAACAAGATATGTGGATATAGTTATCAACAAACATGGGTATATAGTGATAAAATTGTTGCTGCGCCAAGTAAATGAAGCCAATAAACTGCCAAGACAGGTCACTCATTTGCATCAAAACAACAAAAACTACTGCAAATGTAGACAACTGAACCTCTTGGATACAAAATGATATAGATAATTCTTGGTGCAGTTGTCAACTGAGAAACCAGTTTACTAATACTTCACCAATCAACGTAATATAACAATAATTCATTAATTGCCTTGTAAGAGAGACAATTCTAACCAGTAGTAAGGGCATCCCTCATCATTAGAACCAATCCACCAATTGGCAACCAAATTGATGTTTACTATCACAATGTGTGTGGATAGTGGATAACCAAAATCCAATTTAATAGAGAATAAAACATTGGGGAAAAATCGATTAGCCTAGTCCAAGGCTCAAGGTATCTTAAGATGCAGGCACAGATAACAGGATGAGTTAAGCTCTAGAGGCTGTTTTAATACCTTGAGCACATTAGATTCAAGGAAATGCACGTAGCTTTCGAGTACGCAGTTGATATGTCAACTCACTTTTTATGCTTATGTAGTCAGATAGATTTCTTGCACTAAAACGTTACAATTTTGCATGACTAATTTTTTCTCAACCTATGCCCTGAAGTACTCCTCCCACAAAGTTTTCACCTAAGAATTTCCTACCATGCGCCCTCATTTATGGTTCTACTTCTATATTCAGGTTATACAATGTTTCAAGCTAACCAAGAAAAGTAACAGTTCATGTTAGCTGAAGCCTTTTGGATATAAAAACACAAGTTTCAGAAGGAACTCTCTACATCTACCTTAGATGTCCTTAATCGAACATGCAATATGTGATTAAATAAACCACAAAGAGTTTCTTTGAAATAAGCATCTTTTTGCAGGTAGGCACCACATATGCTATAAAAAAATTGTGAACTCTCGACAAACATAAGATCAGACCTTTGTTCTGATACTGGTAAAGCCACCATTGTTCGCAGTGGAAACAACACCTTCAATTAGATAGACAAATAAGAAAGTTAATAAAAATGTAATGCAAACCATAAACACATTGTTCATCAAGAGAGAACTACATGTTCCATGCAAGCAACAAATTCGGCAAGAACAAACCTCGAAAAATTCCAGTAGGCCCACCATTTTCACCACCGTTGGTGTCCATCATGTATGTGCTTTCACTAACTCCTCCCATCACAACATCATCCAAAGCACCCCAAGGCAGATCTTTAAATTTATCGTCTGCAAAAATATAGCACATAAAAGAAACCAGAATTAGAAACCCAGTCGGCCAGCTTATTTTTTCCATGTAAAGAACCACCTAAGTGCTTATGTTCCCTCTAAATTGTACAGTAGTAAATTCACAAGCTAAATTCGAGTGGCTTCTTTTTAATCAATGTGGGAAGCCCTAGGTAGGTCGTTAGTCTCATGCAATTCCAAAAATGAGCCCCCACTCTCTTCGGGCACTGCCTCAAAAATGTTTCTTTTCCCCAGTTGGCTACAGCTAAAAAGAATGTCAATGACTTATGGCCTTAAGTACCAGAGATAACCATTATTAAATTTGCTATTCAAGCTTGCTAATCATGTGAACAGACCACTCATCTCTAATAAAGCAGGCTACAACTTCTTACATACGGTCAACTGAGTGTATGTAGTCATGACTTTGATTCTTACAGCCACAGATAAAGGCGCACATTTTTCTTCAAGCTAATTTAATTGCCTTAACATCTTACAACCCAGGCCAACATAAAAGGAAAGTAACTCTTCACAGTGAACAACTTCAAAGTTTTCTTTCCAGGAATAAGGAAACTTACTTGCAAGGGACAAAAGGGAAGTATAAAAAGAATTAGACGACGTAGTCAGAGTATCCAAAATGATGGAAGTCACACACCTTTGAGACCAAATAATACTTTTCCATTCCGCAGTCCAACACCCTTTTTGACAGCATTGATTAAATTTCTCATCCCAATGTACTCGACCATTTCAGGTGAATCGCCTTTGATCTGCATGTTTAAATAGGAAATCACTCTTATCGCGATCATGGTGTTCAGTTATACCTTCAAATTGAGCATTTTAGTTAAGAATGGATCTGACTTCTCGAGGATATAGAGTAATTTCTCAACCTCTGGTTCAAAAAACTTGATTCCCTGCACATCAACAATTTTCAGGTCAAGAACTCAAATAATACAGGACAAAAGCAACTTACACAGAAAACTTGATTGGAGGTACACAGTTAACATAAATTTTATCGATACTTTGGTAAATCTCCGGCCTGAAAATTTTGCATGAGAAGCTCAAAAAACATACTTGGCTGTATTTGGCCCTGTCAGGAGTGTCCCCTTCCTTTGGGCCAACGATGACAGAAACAGCATTGATGACTTTTCTCACTCCTCTGAAGTTCTCAAGGGCCAGAGTGCTTTCCTTGGTGACGTCCCCAACTACCTGAGATTTAGGAAGCAGAGAAGGATCAAGTTGGGGAAAATGGCAGTTTGACAGTGTGAAAAGAAAAGTCAGACCAGTAAGGATAGATAGGACATATGAATGTCATATTTTAAACAAAGGGACTGAATTGGCCATTCACTCGTTGGATATTCAACCAAAATAAACATGCTTCATGTGCTCTACCTAATTAAAACTAGCAAGTTTTGTAATGCGCCAGATGTTCTATGAGTAAAATGCGGTAAGCATAGAAATAAACAGAATTTTATTTTTGAAGGGAGAACATTATTTGTAGTGCATTATCAAAGCCTCCAAATCATGAACACTAGTTGCTCACAGCTTGCATGTCAACAGACTACATACACATAAGTTAGGCTCTATATAGGTCTACAACCAGTAGTTCTCAGCAACTTTGTGACTGGTTTATCTCAACTGTGAATGTCATACAGTACATCTCACTATCTTAGAGTCGTCTATGGTGCCCCTGTTTTACGCCGTCATCAATTTGTTCATTTTGTCAGAGTCCAATAAAAAGTGTCGTAAATCGTTATAACCCACTTCACCACAAAAATGATCATTTTATCGAAAATAGATGTGAAATGTCATAAATCACAAATTCTGATCATTAGATAGTTATTCATTGCACTTTTATCGAAGTATGACAAAAAGAACTGATTACAATAACCTACGAGATGAGGCAAGGGCATAGTACCACCGAGGCAACACACAAGCACATGTGCATCGCTGCATACAAATGCATATTATTGACAAGAGTACACCCTTGGAAGCTCCAATAAGGTAAGTCTAGCACTCTAGTATACAAACTCATATGAAGAAACATGTCTAAGCAATGACAGAAAAACAAACATGAATAGTTCTTTATCCATTATGCACAATACATGCTCATGTTCAGTTACATAATATGGCCAGTCTGATGGTTGGAATTCGGCTTATGAAGTCATTTTCCAAATCAAGTAAATCCAGTTTAAAGAAAAGGACACCACGCTTAGTTAAGCTGCAAAATATAAATTGCAAGAAGAAACAAAATTCAATAGGAAGCTCACCAAGTCAACGTCTGGGCCTAACATCTTTCTTGCCTTCTCTTCATTTCTGACCTAGAAAGTTTTCCGCAATGAAACAAATGAAATGTGGAATCGCAGATGGAGTGCAATGATCAAAAAAGCATATTAGATACCTTGTCTGAAACAATAAAGTAGTTAATTCTTTTTTTAAGCTCAACAACATATAAGAAGAAGTAAGAGCAACCAGCAAGGCAAGAGATAAGTACCAATACACGGACAGGCAATCCTTTTTTGCGTAAGATGTCAACCACTCTTCTCCCTACACCCCCAGTGGCTCCAGCAACTAGGACTATACCGGAAGACTCCATTCTTTTTGGCGGTTCGCTGAGTGCAGGACCCGACAGTTTCTCAATTATGAATTCAACGAACTTCACAAGAATGATAAAAAGCCACAAAACCAGATTAGTTAATTCATAAAGAGAATTGCATTTATCGACATTACGAAACCAGTAGGATGCTAGTAAGCACCTTAGAAGGAGATGGGGGTCCTTGGAAAAAGTATATGGTCTTCAGAAATCTTCCTAAATCCCAACCTTGCTTTTCAGCTTCTGCTGATATTGGACTCCTATAGGAAATTGATAGGCGACTATCTAATGAAGACTTGCTAAGTAAAGTCTTGGACGTTGCAGTGAGTTGTAGAAATGGTTTAGGAAGTAGAGAAGGTGGGCCCCAAGGATGTACAGATTTCTTACAATATTCACAGCCAATAATAGAGGCACCCTGCAGCATCAGTTGATTGAGTAAGAAAAAGCTTAAACGAACCTTGATTTCAGTATAGTGAGCTACACCAGTACAGTAAATAAAATTAACAGAGGATAAGACCGATTAGAGATGCAAAGGAAATTAGGAAAGAAGATTGTCAAATCAAGATTGCGAAGCTTCAGCATATTCTGGACCAGATGATTCAACTACCGCTTTAATCCAACCATGACAGAATTGCTGTAACTACAGGGCTAATTTGCAGTTTCACTGGATTGTGGGAATATAAAACAAAGTAGTATGTAGGATGCTTTTAGGAATTCATCTGCTGGCAACACTAGAATCACTAAGCAATGAAGAATGAAAACATAAAACTATGAGCTTGTTATTACTTTAAGCTTCTAGATTCACCAGTTCACTACTCAATTACCAACCCTTCAAGAAATGGCCAGTTTTTCAATGATAAGGTAGGTAGGTAAAATGGTTAAATTTAATACGCAACAATTTAAGCAAATATTTCGACAATTCGCGGTCTGCTTCTACACCGTCTCTTTTAAGGGGCAATTTTTTACATTGGTTCAATTGAAAGAGCGCAAGGACCAAATTGGCCAAAATTGAAATTGGAGGACCGAAATTGAATATCGAAGAAGAGCGCATGGACTATTTTTGACATTGTCCCCTGTTTTAATTCTCACTGTGCAATAGACATCATGGCATAGAGAAATGCACCACTCTAGACCATCATCACTTCATGTTTCTACACAATTGAGGAGCAAAAACTTTTCCCAACTGGAAATCACACTTAGATATTGCCCTTCAATCTGTCTGCTACGAACCCCAAAGAACTCTTAACTTTGCACGTAAGCAAAACGGGAAAAGTTCTAATTTCTATGCCAAATGAGTATCACTCCAAACTAACATGAAGGAAAGTGGACATTCAAAGCACAAAAATCCATCAAGAATCAAAATTTTTGTTGCAACTCGAAAGCAAAGCCATTTCGCAAGTGGGCAACCACTGCAATCAGATTAACCGAAGAAAGAAGCCTGGATTACCTGAAGATGAAGCATCTCCATGAAAGAGCCAAGCGCTCTCTCAGTTTGACTGGAAAATTCGAGGACTCTTCACAGTCCAGTTGAAGTTTAGAGATGATCTTGATATGGTTCCCGCACTTACTAACGGAGTTGATGGGGTTGTTCCTGATATTTTGAATGACGGGAGTAAATATAGACCACACAAGCAAAGCAACGTGTGACAATTTGCTAAGTATTGGAACATTTTCATGGGCTGGGCTCATCAATGCAGGACCACTCGCCTTATCATACATGCCGAAAATTACCAAAAAACTCATAAACTTATTGTATTAATATCAATTCAGTAATAAACATTTTAATTTAATAAATTCAATTTTAAAATTTTTGATAATTTGCAAATATAGTTCATCCACCAAATTTTAACTGAAAATCACTGACATGGACATTTGACATGGACGCTAGTTATTTTATTTCACAATTTTTTTAATTGAATTATTTTTTTCTTTTCTTTTTTCTCTTATCTTTTTTTTTCTTTATTGTGGCCAACGAAGGCACAACAACCGTCGCGAATCACTGGGCGAGGGGCCACAAGCCCTTGATGGCCGTTGGCGAGGGTTGTAGCCCTCACCTAAGCCCTCGCCAACCGTGAGCAAGGGCCACCTTGCCCAAGCCCTCACTAGTCGCGAGTAAGGCGACCCTTCCCCAAATTTGGCGAGGACCCTCGCCTAGCCCTCATCGGCCACCAGCCAAAAGGAAAGAAAAAAACAGAAAAAGAAAGAAAAATCTGAAAAGATTTTAAAAATTGTCAATGTCAATATCAATGTCGACCACACCATAGAGGATGGTCAACGCTGACTAAACCACCACATTAGCGTTTCGGTCAAAATTGATAGGAATAATTACATTTGCAATCATTAAAAAGTTTAGGATTAAATTGACACAATTAAAAGATTTAAGAATGAATTAGTGCATTAGGTTTATGATTTGTTTGATAATTTTCCTATCACATGTGCTTACAGGAGTTATCTTCGCTCCTTTTTAAGTTTTGGTTTCGCATCACTTTGCAAGTTGGGAGATACAGGCCAACGAAATAATCTACTATTCTAATGGATTATGTCAGATCCTGCTAAAGCTCTGGTGAGGGGCCTAATCGTGGAACTATTCGCAATTGGTAACTTTGAGCAATCCAACCCGTGTCATGTATCTAATCCACGCATGGCCATTCGTTAATCACTCCACGAGGTTCTTGAGGTTCACTCGCCGACTGTTTTTCTTCACAAAACTGAAGATGTGTGACATGTTCAGCTCTCTTTTAGATAATGGAAGGAGATAATATTCAAACTCCTTGTATGTTTGTCCTCAAGCGTGAGTCTTCATTTGTATGTCGACCACTCCTTCCTATTTAAGGAAGCTATTAGTGCGAATAGTTAAATTTAAGTCGATTAAATTGATGTAAAAATGAAATGAGTAGTCTAAAAATTACCCTGTTGATGTGTTCCATTACCATTCTAGCTGTAAATGAAAGAAATTGTTCGGTATAGATGCACAGTATGTTTGTATTTTAGAGATCCTATTGGATCTTTTAGTTGTACTTCAGCATGACACTTACTATGAAATTTTAAGGAAATGGCAATGGTTTTTCATTCTTAAAAGAATTATTATGGGTTAGAAACAAAATGATACCTTTTTTTTTGGTTTTGCAGTGACTTAGGTTCTTTTATAATTCATGCACCTGAAAACTCACTCCAATTTACTATAATGGACTATAATGAGGAGGACAATAAATTCACTCACAATCTATTAAGAAGGAAAGTAGCTTGATTGGTTCAAATCCAATTTGCGAATTAGCTGCAGTTCCTTTGTTACTCACTCTGTGCCATGGAGCAAAGACTTTGTTAACTGTTTTACGTTGATGTGAATACTCTTATCCAAAAGATGTTTGTAGACACCTAATTTTGATTTAAGGTTTAATCAAAGTTGACTGAAAATATTACTTCTTTAAAAGTTCGATCAAAGAGGACCATTGGGGCCGTGCTCATCAAGAGCTTCAAGAATGATCAAATTTTTAACGAAATTCAATAAAACCCTAACTTCCAACTGAATCACAAAATTAAAAATAATAATAAAAAAAAAGTTCAGTGAAATTTGAGTAAAAATGTAAATATTATTTTGCATAATTTTTCAAAAATTAAAAGGCTGGCCGCCATTTGTGCAAGGTCAAGTTGGGCCTGCGCAAGCTTCCCCTCGATTCAAAATTTGTCCCTATAAATAGAGCGTTCATTTGCTTATGTTTTTTAAGGTAATTAATTTTAAAACTCCCTCTTCTACATGCTCTCAAATTTCCATCACTAACCGGAATCTTTCATAACTGTTACTATGCCACAATGAACTTAGAAAATGTCATATATTTCTCTAGTCCGTTGTTATGCATGCCGTGATTTTTCAAAAAATGTTCTCAAACCCTGTGGCTACAGTTTTGTACATTGCAAAGGCAATTGTAAAATCCCCAAGGCTGGTGCAGTTGGTTGGGGCATTGTGGAAATTCTAGTGTAGGAACTGGAGATTGCATGCCAATCCCATCAATCGTATGCAATAAAATTTGAGTCAAAGCCACCGCAGAGGTTAAAGGCCTGAACATAATCGATTCATGGAATTTACAAAGTGTTTAATGAACTTCAGATAGTCGGATCTTTGCTCTCGTGCCTTTAAATTATAAAAAAAAAATGCAAGGATAGATGAAACAACATTTAGAGACTTGCGTCAATAAAACAATGCTATCAATTCTTAGGCAACAAGTATTCTGTAGCTTTCAAATACATAATGTCCATAGATACTAAAACAAAAGGTGCAACTTTTTATAGATAAGCATATGAATTTTATGAATTGATAGATACTGAGTCTAAACTGTACCTATAAATCACTAGATTCATTCACTTTTAGGAGATTACATATTCATATTAAAAGTATGAATTGCTTGAACCTGGAATGTGATCGAATCGTGTGGGACATGAATCTAGATGCAATCGATTCCTAGAGCTAAGACATCCTCTTATGGCTTAGTAGTCACACAGTTGTTTTCTAAATGTGATCCACATATTATTTTTTGTAATAACTGCACTAAAGTTCTAAAACTTATCACGGAAATATAAATAACTCCTACAATTTTCAGAAAGTGCAATAAAAAACTTGTCACATAAGTGTAATCGAGTCCTAAAACTTTCAAAATGTACAATTAAGTCATAAAACTTGTCACAAAAATGCAATCGGGTACTAAAATTTTTAAAGAGTGCAATCAATGGAATGGCTTGATTAGTCTAATATGACAAGTTTTATGATTTGTTTTAAGATTTAGGACTCATGTTACACTTTTGTAATAAGTTTTAGGATTAACAATGTACTTATTTTTTATTTTTTTTATTAGCAAAACATTTGTATCCTATGATACATTGAATTTCTTCTGAAAAGACGAGAACTACTTTCGGCCGAAGCTATTAATGCGGCATACTTCTCGTACGAGGGAAGATGCCTAAAGGGAGGACAAGGAGAACATTGACTGGGGGGAGGATCTGCAAGCATTATTTCTGTCATTTGGTTCATTGTGTACAACCTCATGTGCCGACACTCTAACGGCGATGTTATTGTGGACCATGACTTTCTGTTTCCTTAGGTTTTGTTCTTCAGGACCATGTGGGGCTGCAAATATTCTCAATTTTTGTGAGTGTTTGTTCCATCTCCCATGCACATGATGGGATTCATTTCCACCACAGCAATGGTTAACCTAGTGATGTAGGACTTACTCTCAGGACATCCCTAGTTGTAAGTTCGAATCTACCGGTCATTCCTCGATCTTAGGAAGCCTTCGTTCGTTTGCGGCGTAGGTTTGGCCATGCCATGGCGTAGGATAACCCCAATTCTATTCTCACTAGCATCGTAGTGTGGCGGCAGTGATGAGATGGCTTAAACTCAACATTCCGTTGTGGGTATGGAACTTGAAGTTGAGCGCCTCTTCCCACCCTTTTACGTATAGAAAAGAGGAATCATTTCTAATGATAAAATGGACCAGCCAGATTTGATAACAATCTCTCCACCAAACATATATCTGTATGTATATAATGTCTAATCAACGGAAATTTCACGAATTTCTCTAAAAAGCTCAGAAATAGTTAGAAATAATAATAAAATAATTGAGAAAAAGTACATAATCAATGAGTTCCGTATATCATTATTTGTCATTAGTTTGCAGCTTCTAATTGTTGGGCTTGAACATTTTTGGCCCAACTAGGCTTGGATTGGGCTATCGAAAATTATAGTAAAACGCCTCGCATCAAGTGCACCAACTTATTTGGTCATATGTCGTCAATTAGCATTTTCTTAGCTGGTTATGAACGTGATGGCATTTTTTTTCCCTTTTCATGTCCTAGCGTTAATGTTAAAAAGTGTCTTAATCTACTAAATCACATGTAAATCCCAAAGAACCCTAATTTCCTATGTAGATCTTTTTTATTGGAGATGGGTACCGCTCCAAAATAGTTTTCATTTACTGTCTCTGTTTTATTCATCACTAGGTTTGCGTCACATGTCCACCAGACATGCAATCTCAAAAAGCCCTAATCTCACATGCCCACTTTCCCCCCTTATGATCTCAGCCCCTAGATAGGAGCCGTGCCATTGCCCCTATATGCTGTCGCTGCACGCACATAGTGGGTGCCGTCTCTCCCAGCTTGCGCGGCAACAACCACCTCCTCTCTCCTCCTTGAGGAATCTCTCTCTTCTTCGTCGCTATCACCGTCAAGGTGAAGGAGACAACAACACCGACAAGCCCAAGCCAAGATTGAACGCGAGTCTTGGATCTCGGGCTTGGCCGCACTTGACCGAGTCATAAATGCTCGATCTCAGATATGGCTAGATTGTGCTAGCCGAGCTGGAGCCAAATTGATTGGGATTTTTCTTACTGTATGTTAGATCGTCACGTGACACAATGATAAACAGAGGAGTCGTAGAGTCCGGGGAAAGCACATGGAAAGAGGGCCCTCCCCTCCGTTCGAGTTGTACCTATAGCAGTCGAGAGTTACATGTTTATGCGTTTGATTGGACAAGAGCACAAATCAGAAAGATAAAGAAAGAGAGAAAAAGTTTTCCACGCAAAAGAAAATCAAGAAGTCATTTCAAGTTTGCTTAAAGG